ACAGTTGAGAAGCATAATGATATTACCTTAAGTAGCTAAGCTATCCGGCAACAGACACTTCCCTATAGCAATGCACTATATTCACCAATATACATTTGTGAGATTCTCACAAAGCAACACGGATGGGGCTGGTTAGATGCACAGATCTCTGTCCCATATTTGGGTCGTTTTCCTTCAGTAGACTGTGGGAAATAAGCCTTTTCTATACGGATTCTCCTTCAAGATGAGTCGCACAGTAGATCCAAATTTTTCGTCAACCTTATGACTAATGCTGAGAACATAAATGTCACCTAATTGAAAACCTCTCATCGCCCAATAGCACGTGTACCGTTGGTTCACGCACGTTTTCTTCATGTATCTTCCGCCCCAACATCATTGCTCGTGGACAATTGCCCCGTTACAGTGTCGCTCACCTGTCAGAAATGCCTCAGTACGTGAGTAAATCCACCTGTCCTGCCTTACCAAAACCACAGATTCGAGCTCTGATTTGTACACTTGGGCGACCAATTGAGCGTGAGCAAAAGTTATCATTTACCAAAACAAACAGTACCGGCTGTGTGATCAAAAAAGGCTGGTACAGTCCATTCATAGTTGAAATACTAAAGATCATTATCGGGCTCCGTCTAATCCCAGATTTTTCAACTGCCTCATTCAATGTGATGCGACTCAGTATGCATCGGTGTAGACTGTTCGAATCATAGCCGTCCGGGTAAAGGTGGCATGTTACCCATAATCTTTCCTTTCATACCTATCGCCAACTTTACACGTGCTTTTGGGCTCAAGGTAAATATTATGCCCCTGGATTTACTGGCACTTAGTACAGATAAAATGCGCGAGTATTTGGTCTCACAAATGCTCAAAAGTTATAAAGCATCAATATTTTACGCACTTCCGGTGAGGCGCAACATGTATCAGGGGTTTGACAAATCACCTGGTTTGATTCGGTTAGGTTATGTTCTACAGGAGCGATATGAGTATATAGTTTGTAGCCAGATGCACAAGAACCACTGACAACTTTAGAGTTACATTAAGGAGCAGAGTGAGCCGATCTGAGAAAAAATTCTTCAATCGTGTACAGGAAGAATGTTATATCGAAAACAAAAGGAAGGATGACATTTTGAACCGAATCAGTGGGCAAATTAGCGCATTCGGTGTGGTAGTATGGAGTAGTACGCTCCGTTAATAATACATCACGTTTTGTATTCCAACTACTCTCACTGAGTAGAAAACGACACTTCTGCAGACCTTTATTCAGTTAGGTTTCCTTAGATGAAAGGCTTCCAAGAAATAATACTGAAATATATAATGTCAGCGAAAGATGTATTGGAGAGGTAATGCTGCATAACTAGCGCTATACTGCGACGTTCAAAGGTGGTTAGAATGCATCTTTCACAGATAAGAATCCCATTTTGAACTTGTGTCCAAAATATGATAGGCGTTAATTCATCCACCGCCCAAGTCACGGTGGTTCAGTACACAGACAGAGAGTACGGCCTAAAGGAACAGGGTAGCCCTGTTGAGTGGTGACTACCTCAGCTACCGCTATCGGACAAGGTTGTACTGCCCTGGACTAGCTGGTGAGCGCTATAAGCGTGATACGGAATTTATGGCGTCATACTACTCGACACGCGTGATTTGGCAATCAGACGTAACATAGTGAAACTGGCTGACGTTGTGTTGATTCTTCTGTCATCTGACTGAGTTGCCCAACAGTGCGTCCAATACATCCAGTCGCATAGTCATGGAAGGAGTATTCTGATCCAGTGTTCTTGGAGACAAAAACGAAATCAGTCGAACCTCCCAATCGTAGTCAGGTTTGGCTAAATAAACTGTACTGTTTCAGTTGGAACGATCGTGAGCTTACGGAAGAATTTTGCTAGACACAGCGCTAATTATATAATGTTGCTGGAAAAAACCTCCGTGGAACTTACTAGGTAAACACAATCTGAGATTCCATTAAAATCGAATTAATAAGGCGTTCGTTTAACGTTGATTATCAGTCGTGCATATTTGCTATCAGTACGGTCAGTTCTGGCCTTAAACGGCATTTGATACTTGTATATTCGTAGTGCACTACTCATGAGGTTGCTGAAAATTCGTCGACAACCTACGACCGGTTTCGCCATTCTTGAGGCTCATCAGGTAGGCGTAGTCCAGCCATCACCTAGGTGGAAACAAATCAACCACAGTTGATATCCATAGTTCACCACTAGCCCACCGCTACGCACAACTACGCACTGATGACGTCACCTCGATTGGGGATGAAACGTTTGCAACCAAATTGCCCAGCTCAGCGAACAAGACAACGACCATCCCTAGTTCACCTAGGGCGACCAACAAAGTCAGACTGCAAACGCGCTTTCCTTTATGTTACCTCGCTACAACGATCAGTTGGAAGTTCAAAATAAATTAGAAACCGTCAAGGGGTTGTTTCTAAGAAAACGGAAGATACAAAAGTTGCCGTGGTAGCAGGAATAATATGTGAAATACCACGTTTTCACCGCCACAAATACAGATGAAGATTATTTGGAACCCACAGTTTGCCTAATCGGTCAAAGATAAAAGGCACAAGTGATCTCAGCCACAGTGATGAAGAGTTAAGCTAAGGAAATTACAACCTCGCCCACATGTTTACCAGCACGACACTGACAGTATGACGCATGAACCCTGAATTGATAGATAGCGAACTTGAATTCTTTCCGATTACGTCCTCACAGTGGCCAATCTAAAGCTTCAATAAGGTGAAACACATTCACGTAAAATAAGGACGAAACAATCAAATGCATACGGTATGCCTTATCGATTTCCTTTGTTAGTTACAATCAGACAGCGATAAGTAGGCCAACCTGTCGACAACATTGCCAAAATCCGTTCCGTATATCGGGTTGTTGATCCACCAAGATTCAGGCTCAGTTCGAGAACTACTGTACCCTCGTAGTTTGGCGTGGGATTGCACGCAACCTTTCTCAGTCATGACATCACTCCAGGCCGCTGGACCACCGGAAGAAAATTAGCGGAGGCAAGAGATTTTAAGTCGTGGAAACCTCGGGACGTTTCCACACTCTGCATGCTCACGCAACAAAAGCTGTCCTTTATCCTTCCAAATTATACTGAATTGTATACGAAAGTGGTAACCAAAGAGATGTCCGTAATAGAAGGATGAAACATGCGCCATCTGACGTCAAGTCGAGTGGCTTTTGACTTCCAAATGTTGAAGACCAAAAGATCGGTGTCAAACATATTGTAGACATGAGTCTATTCTAACTTGCATTCTTTAGAGGCCAATTCGTTTTCCAGAGTTTCGAATCACCTATATTGGTACACCAGCAGTTTGATGCAACTGGCCGTCGCACTTTTTCGAATTGCTTTCAGTAGGTAGGAATTGCTGCCTTTGTCTCTACGCAGACAATCAGATGAGGTTGAAAATTCACGCTAAAAATCTTCATAGTCAACTTTCTGACCTGATAAATTCACCTGAGCCAATCCGGCATTTATTGTTTCCACCTTACTCAATTACCTACTACTACTGAAGAGAGTGCCGGTAGAATCATTATGCTTTGTTCTACTCAAGAAATAGAGACTGATAACTTCGCATCGATTGGTGATGAAGTGTTTGCAAATCTAACAAACCAATGACCAATAACAAAGCAGCCGCAAGCAGTGTGGAAGAATGCGAACAACCTTATCTCCGGGGTTTACTATAGGTGTATGGGCTCTTGGGCAGAAGTGAAAACACCACAAAAGTGACGGAAACATTAACTGATGGGTCGAGATCCAACAGAAGGGAGATAGAAATTGACAACACATTTCAAGCAAATAAGCGGGAAACCAAAACACCACGATGCATAAGGAACGGCTGGTAAATTGAAACCATACTTTGTATACACGTCAGTAATAAGAATACCACGAAGCTACATATTTCCAAAGGTATATACGAGTAACCTACGCGTTCTAGAGATATTGGACTGTCTGCGACATGCACAGGCTAATTAGTTTAAGGAATAAGAGAGGAAAACCAGATATACCGCTGTCAAGCAACCTCAGCAACATCGTCAAATTGAATGACGAGAGTAATGACCTGAGCGCAACCGGACAGCAAATACTGATATCCTTTTCCACTAGTATATCACTTCGCGTAGTTGCATTAGTACTGACGAACTACGTAGAATTTCGCATCAAAACTAACAATACCAAGTACTTCCGACCACCTGTACCCATTAAGTAAATTTTCAGAAGGTGCTGCGACTCAGTCTCCACCTTTACCACCTATGACACCATTTCTGGGGACGCTATATCAACCGTAGAACAACTTGATTCTCCGATATAATCCATTGGCCAGTTTGGTTGATTAGTGGAAGTAAAAAAGCAAAACTTTGGTTCAGGCGTCGAGAACCTGGTTGATTACAACCGAAATGTCCCCTTCAGGGCCTTTCAGGTGACGTATCGCATGAGAGCAAACCACAAAAGTTTTACACATACTGGACTACTTTCTGATGCCAAGTTGATGTTCACCGGGCTGAGCAAACCTGCTATTTATGCGTAAAAGCTGTGAAATTCATCAGATCGGTAAACCTGAACGGTCCCCAAATAATATGCTGAACACTGACCATAATTTTGTGGTCAAAATATTACAATCTACGGTCAGGTTGTGTATTTTTACTTATTCCATAGCTCCAACAGCCTCTCTTACTTTTTGCGTTTATTTGCACCGAGCTGGAAATTTCCAAACGAACTTCAGACATATCTGCTATTTCCTTTATCTATTAGCATTTAAATTCCTTCACAGATGTGACGCATAGCACGCCCTATATATAGCCCGTCGCTGTATTTAGCATTTTGTACCGGTCCCATCAGCGATCGCTTTATGGGCTTTTGCCGCCGTACATTCGGTCACAAAATATCAACCCACCCGGGTGGTTGACTAAATGTTAGACAGACCAAGCACCGGAAAGTGCAGGTCAGTGAAATGGTCACGCGTGAATTCGTCAACTAAAACTCACTTTCAACTTTCAGTCGTCCCGGCTGTGGTATCACTGCAACTTTGAGTCGTCCGCGACGTTCCGTGTGATCGATTCCGCATAATCTGGGAGCCCGTTCTGTGCATCTTTTGTGGACATTCAAATCACAGTCTGGACAAAAGAAGAAAGGTAACATTGTGTTATTAAGAACTATTTTGATATCAAAAGATCTCGGGTAATTTGAATGATATCTTGCGTAAAACGGAGCATATGGCTGTGGTTATAACAAATGTGTACACAGCAAAGGTCTCATTTCTCCCTTGCAGTTAAGAACCGTAAACTGCGCCGACAAGCTGACACCCAGCGCATCCCTATCGGCAATTAGTGGGACAAGACATCTTTAGTAAGAAGATCGAATTTGAAGAATACGAACTTTGTAATTTGAAATGATCACGCCTCTTGTTTTCTCCACTTCCAACGTACAAAAGTATTTTACATCCAACTAAGGCAATAGAGACTTCCTGTGTTGGAACACAAAAGCAGAAAATGCATGAAGCAGTAGTTGAGGCTGAACCAGAACAAATCGATGAACCGTTTAAAGTAACAGAGACAAGTCTATAGTATCTCCAGGAGTACAACTGATTATACACAACTTGAAAAGATTATTGGTTCAATGCAGCTTTGTTAGAATTTATTCATGATAGGCTACTTTGGCAATACGTATGGCCAGATGGCGAGATGGCTCAGGGGTAAGATGGCTCAAGTGGTTATAGCGCGAATGTACTGATCGGAAGGTTCGTGGTTCGAAACCGACCTCCGCCTCTCGATTTCCCCTGTCTAGGCTTGGGCAACCTGGCAGTATCCCAGCCCTCTTGCTTCCTTCGGGTGGCATGGGAGCTAGGCAGCGGAAGGGTGTTACATCTGAAAGGTTTTTTATTTTATGGCCAGCTACCAACAGGCAGATGGAGAAATTAGGTAAGCTTGGGACAACAAAACGAACCCAAAGTGACATCGGCTCGGTCATTGCTAGTATTCAAAATGCAATGTTAAACTAATCCTCACTTTGTTTGTATTGGAGTTGGGATAGAGTATTACGGAATTAGCTGAGGAAATATGATGAATTTCGATGGAGAAGCCCGATTACACACCGTAGACCGGAAACACGTTCACACCAGATACATAAAACTTCTTATAAATGATACTGACACGTCGTTTGGGTTATCTGCGCAGTAGCTCAGCGATTTGTTTACCTGAATATTGCCACCCAAAGTTCCATGTGAGTTTTTTGTCCTCAGTCTTAATTTGGGACTAAAATTAATCACAATTAATATAGTGGTGCGAAAAAGTCACCTCCTGAAAGTAGGATAATGACGTTTTCAGAGCATAGTTTGTCGCTGTATGATATTCACTTTGTCACATTTCGTGCGAGTTAACGGAATACTTTGGTAACTATGGTATCACCAAGCTTATTTAACCCAATTTCGTACCCACACAAAGTCGTGGTCTAGGTTCCCCTCTGAGCTGCGAAGACCACATGACTGCAGTACAAACGTATTGGTCTGCTATCAGGACAGCGAATGGAAGGCTCCGGCACAAACCCGGAACTTTCGTCGACTTTGACCGAGATAAAATGGTCAGAAGTGGATTAAAATTAACAGACCAAAATGAGTGGATGGATAGATTGTCACGAAAAATGCTGACAACCACAGCTCATTGATGTGCCGACGCATTGTGTAAAATGATAGCAATTACGACGCTTACATTTCAAACAGGGCTGAGTTTGGTCGCAACTGGAAGAAATCAGATTCGATGCTCGCAGAAAATCATTAGTGAATGAGTTAGTACGCCCGTCTGGAATAAAGATCGTGTGCACGCCGTGACCTTTGTCCGTGTCTGATACATGTAAGTGGTTCATCATTCATCATCATCACCATCATCATCATGGAATGCTCTACGTCCAGACCTTCAAACGATTCATGAAAGCGTACTACTCCCAAGCGACTTTTCGGCAATAATTTGATAGGCCTCCCGCGGATTGCCAGGATACATATAGTCTCAGTGGTATACGTTTTCTCAGCTAGTGTGTCCAGTTGCTATTAAAGCAAATTAACCCCCGAAGTGTCCTCGACAGATCAAAAACTATGCCTTCTCAACTAAATTCCACCCTGTCACTTTTATCTATGGCACGTCTAGTTTTCAGTTAAAAACTAGTGTATTACTAGTACCGTGCTAAATTTTCCGGTCCCCGTGTGTCAACGTAGCGGAAAAAATATATATATTTGAGGTTCTTCAGTGCCGTGATTTCCAATTCGCGTACATGTTATCAGGTCCTGGCGTGGGCAGAACGGTATAATTCGCACTATGACACCACTACTAAAGTGTCACCAGTAAACTGCATTGATGACAGCGGTTACAACAACCTATTTACAGGACGGAGCCAATTCGGGAACGTGGACATTTTAAAACGAACTTTACACAACGATAGTAATACTTTTCATACAGTTGAAAAACATCAATAGGAAGGATTCAATCGAAACTCGCTAGAGTTTCTCCTTCACACCATGTTAATATGAAAGTGAGTCGCAAGTGCAAAAATGGTATGACAGCAGAATACTGATCAGAATGCACTGTAACACATAGACAATAGTATACTATATCTAGATCATAAATTATTGCTATTACCCTCACTACCGAGACAAAGTCAAAGTGCATACATAGTAACAGGTCGAAGTCCTGGTCATTTAGTCGGATATTAGACATGATCCACCACCCACAAGGTTGCTGAAAATTCTTCAATAGCCCGCGACCGGTTTTGCCTTTCCTGAGGCCCATCCAGTGGGCAAAGTCCCCGAGGTCCCGAAACCTTATGTTCCCACATGTGTCGCGATATCTCGAATATCGTATCAAATGAAACGTAAGGCGGTCCAGTGTAGTACATTCAGTTGCTTTAAAACATCATAAACGGAAAATTCAGCTAGATTCCAGGTTCGTTTCCCGCAAAACCAAATTTGTTTGCAAATAAGTGTATTTCGCTAGCTGGACACTCCTCACTTAGTACCTTGAGAATCGTTTTGGTTTGGCTCCGAAAACCTTCCGGTTACAAGCCAAATTGCGTTGAGTTTGAGGGCCAAATCGTAACCCTAATAATGCGTACGAAACAGTCGTTCAATACATTAACCAATTTAGTTGGTTGAATAAACCACCTGTTCGTATAGTAGTTAAGTGTTTCCAAAATGCAAAAACAAACGATCAGAAGATAGCGGGACGTACCAGACATCGTAAAACCGTAAGGATTCTACCGAAGAATTTAACCAGAGTAGCCATTTTGGAACTGATCAGGTGAGCTGTTCAAATTGCAACAACCAGTGACAAGTCCGTTCATCAGTCATTCTCTCTGTCGCTCTGTTTCGGTTAGATTCTTGCATACTCTTTCAACCACTAACCTGGGAAATTTTACTCTCCCGTGCGTGACTTTTTCGAAAGGATAACCACCAGTGTTTACATAGCCGTGTTGTGGGACAACGAAAAAACGGATGTAAATTTTCGCTGTTTCGTAGACTCAAATCCCTTTAGGCTAGAGCTTCCTGTATTTTACACTGTCATATAATGGTGGAATGTCAATCAGCTTACCAGTGTAAGAAGCTGTTGTTTTGTTCTTTGAGTTAAATTGAACTGGTAAGTACGGACACCAGACTACCTTAAATGTCATTGGAGAACTTTAGTTCGCTCCCATCAGCAAAAAACACGGGCGTATGAATCTGACCTTAACAACATGCACTGTAGTGGTTAAACTACTCACATCAACTTTAAAACCATTGGTCTCAGACCGCTAAGAAGGTATACTGGGATGACAGACATCAATAGTTACAACATCTCGTAACACTCAAATGATTGAATGTGCTCACTTCCAGCAGTAGTGTACGGATTCCAAATCTGACCATCTCACAATCACTGGATGTTTGTTAAGAAGACGAACAACAAGCGATCACTTCTAATCAGACATGTTGATCTTCATGTAAGACATTAATTATTCATGGCACAGCAAAAATTAGGTTTTCTCTGAAACCATATGGTTATTTCACTTCAGATTACATACGGCTGTCAAACGCCTGGAACAAATCGAATAGAACTGAAACCAAAACCGGAAAACTGGTTCTCCGACGCAACAGGTGGACTGATCTGTATTCTCACGACCCGTTCACAGATCATGGGGACATTTCGACGTCCGCCCATTACAGTGTGCTAAAACCACGAAGAATCCTGTCGGTTTAGGTGGGTAGAAAAATCCATTTTCAAACCAGTTCTATAAAAGCAAATGCGCATGGACTATTATATATTTTGTGAAGTTGTCACTGAACTAATTCCTTCTAACAACTCTCGGTGTAATAACTTCCCCACTATTAACAGTGAAGTTACTGTCCTCGGGTTGTCATGGCCCTTGTGTACTAAAATATGCAACCAGTCTTTTGGTCAATGTCTTGGTAACAAAGTTGAACATCTTAAAAATGTGACTACCGCGAGGTCTTTAGAAGACACAGTCATGGAACTGCACATTAGAACTGGTAAGCAGGACTTCGAGAAACCTTGATGGATAGTGGACTTGAGTTAAATAATCAGGAATAACGGACCTTGTGCTTGACGCCGTGCGAAAAATATGTTTGTATAGAGGCGAGGACTATGATGCACGTCAAATAGTTGCAGTGGAAATCAGCGAACCTCGTATTGTAGGAAGTTTGTAGACATCGGTTTCAGATCAGCCAAGCTTACACGTGTCTTAGCTCACAGATAAAGGGAGTCAATAACAGAGGTGGTTGGTACATAAAAGCGCAAAGACCAAATGGCCAACTCTTAATCAGACAGTCGTAGCACACAAAAACTCACAGCTAACGATACCGAGGAGGACTAATCGGCTGAAATGCTATGCACCCACCTTACTGATGAATCACAATGACAGGAACTTATCGCCGACGTTTAGCACTGAGCTAGTAGTAGTCATAATAAATTGTGCTGATGGTACTGTGTTTGAGTTGAAACATGACCAATATGGTAAATGAGTGTTACAACTTGAAAGAGTAAAATACGCCAAGCGATAAATTCACAACTGTTCAAGTCTTTCAGTGCAAACTGGTTCTATTCACGAATGCGTGACCGATAAAACGCCAAATTTAAGG